TTTAAATTAATTTAAAGGTTAGAAACTAGACAACCTTGCCATAAAAACAAAAAACAAAACAACTAACCTAACCTGAGGAGCAAAGACTGACCAGAGCTCCTAGAAAAGAAACACCTTTTTTTTTTTTCTCATATGGCTGGTATTAAAGTCTTGAAAGTTATTCACCTGGTTAATGATTTATGAATTCTGACTATATGAACTGAGCTATGCTAGGTACAGGGCAGACAAAAATAGATAACATGCAATGACTGACTCTCAATGACCTACCACACAAACAAAAGCAATTATATTATAATGAAATACATGCAGCTTATGGACAAGCATCTTGCTATCTGGGACATTCAGAGAGTTGATGAGATTTGAGCCAAGTCTTAAAGAATAAGTTATCGTTTTCCAGGTAGACAGGATTGGGATCAGTTCAGGGAAATATATGATCAATTAAAAAAAATCTATTACATCCTATACACCAGAAACAAATAAGAAGAAACTGTAATTAATAAAGAGCTACTGTTTTTAAAAGCAACAAAAAATATATGATGCCCAGAAATAAATCTAACAAAATACATGTAATACCTCTAAGAAATATATTACTAAGCATTAATAAATGACATAAATGAAGACTTCAATAAATGAGAGGCATATCTTGTTCACTGATAGGAAGATTCTATATTGCAAAGATAGAAAATCTCTTAAATTCAATCAAAATCCCATCACACTTTTTGTGGAACTTGACAAGCTGATACTAAAATTCCTGTGGAAGAGTAAAAAGCCAAGAATTCCTGAGACAATTTTGAATAACAAGATGAGGGAATGTCTTCACCTCCTATTAAGACATATTATAAAGTTATAGTAATTAAAACAGCATGATTTTGGTGCAGGTACAGACAAGACCAATTGAACAAAACAAAGAGCTCAGAAACAGACCCACGCATATGTGAGAAGTTGGTATGTGACCAAAATGGTATTATAAATCAGTAGAAAAAGGATTCAATAGTCTGAGCCAACTGACTATATAGAAGAAAGATAAAATTAGATTCCCAGTTCGTAACATGTATAAAAATGGACTTTTGATGGATTAAAATCGAAAACATAGGAGATTCTCTTTATGACAATGGGATGGGAAAAGTTTCCTAAAACAAAAATCACGTAACATAAATGAAAAAGATTGAGAAATTTTATTTCATTAAAATTTAAAATTTCTTTATACAAACAAATGATACCATAAACAAAGAACAGATATTCCTCAACTTACAATAGGACTATGTCCTGATAAACGATCATAAATCAAAAATATCGTAAATCGAAAATGCATTTAATACCCCAATAAACCCATCGTAAAGTTGAAAAATCGTAAGTTCAACCATTGTATCTCCAGATGCTCTTCAACTTACAAAACCCCATCATAAAGTTGAATAATCCTAAGTCAAGTCATCACGAGCTGGGGACTGTTTATAAAAAGAGACTTTTCTCACCAACTAGGAGAAGATATTTGCAATCCATCTAACAGACAAAGGATTTGTATACAGAATATATAAACAACAACAAATAAACAAGAAGGAACAAAACTCCTGGGAAATGTATCTCATATACTCACCCTTTTCTGAAGGTGACTGCTCTTCTTCCCCACCCTACCCCGCCACCACCCCAACCACAAGGTTTTGGTTAGAACTGATGTTCAAAGTACCCACTCTGGCTGAATCTAGGTCCTAATCCCGGATTTTTTTTTTATTAGGAAAAAAGATTATTTTCTTCTGCAAAACTGTAAAGCCTATACCCCTTTTTCTCCCCCAACCCCCAACTCCACCCCCCACACCCCCCCACAAAACATAGAAGAGACCAGTCTACAGTAGAACAAAGAAGACATGCAGAGAGAACATAGAGGTGGCATTCCACACATCCTGTCTGTTTAGCAGACTGGTTACATGACTCGAGAAATTCTTTTTTACCTAAACTAGCTAGAGTTGAATTTCTGTAACTTGCAACCAGTAATTTAAAGAAATTATTTAATGAGGTCCTAAAGAAAAATAAGTTTAAAAAAAAAGGGAGGACAGTATTCATTATCAATTAGCCCTTCAGTAAATAAATCAGCCCTTAAGTGATAAGAACATAAAACAAAAATCTGGATTCCTAAAATGAACATAATTAACACAGAAATAAATTCCAACAACCTATTTTAATATATGGCACTTACTTAAAAGCAGGCTCACTCCAAAAATCGTGATTCAAATAGATGTGTATATGCTACACAAATATATATAAGCTTAACTATTCTGACTTGAACCTTGATAATTTAGCACAAATATGCATTCCTAATGTGTAAACCAACATTAAAGCTGAAAAGTAACTAATTTTTTTCTGTCAGATACTCTATAATCATTATTAAGGAAGATGTCACTTTGAATAAATTGCTGAAAATAACTAATTCTTTTGCCACTCCCAAGAGCAAACTATTCTTAATCTCCTTCTACTGTGGAAATTGACTATTTGGTCCTGTCACATAACCAGATTTTAATATATGATAGAGCATCATGGCACTTCTCCCTTAGTTACCAAATTTCCTTAAAAGCCTATTAGGAAGGACTTTCAGCAAAATTCTTCTTGGAAGCCTGAATGAATTAGAACCACTTAGAGCATTTAACCTGTGTCCCCCCCCCCCCCCATTCCCCTCAGTGTTTTTTCCAGTGTTACAGCCAATCTAATTTGGTGAAACAAAGATGAAAGGCTTTTACCTATTGTGGAAAAGAAAATTCAAGTCCATCTGCTGCTGAGAGCTTCTGTAGTCCTCAGTCAGCTCTGAATGAGATGGCAGTAGGTGGGTATGAACAGATGGGGGAGGCAGATAGAGAAACCATCTCTAAGAGCCACAGGCCCTGGGAAAGTTAGGATTATTAGGGAGCAAAACCTGCATTTCTAGTTTTTTCATTTTCTTGACCCTCAGCCACATGCAGTACCAACTGCAACCTTCTGGGAACTTACCACTAATTTGAAAAGTGGCAAAACGCAATGGACTAAGACACTAAAGGCTAGGCTGTGGAGTACTTTTGCTTCACAAAGCTACTTTCAGTATCAGTCCCCCAAAATTATTTTCTTTTTTATCAACTTAAAGGAAAAACACAAAGCCCTAATATAAAAATTCCTTCAAAGAATTTGTGGAACACCAAGTTTATAAATCTTCAAAAGTTCTGTCTCATGCAGATTTCATTCTTTAAAATGAGATTCATTAATTATCTTCTTCTGAAGCTAAAAAACCCCTCTACTTACAATTCCAACATGATTTAAGTACTGGTTTCTTACCACTATATTTCTTGCCATTGTTCCAAAGGCAGACAATACATAAATAATCATCACCTACCATTTCAAACACTGGAATTAAGAAGAGAACCAGCCAGGTTTCCACCTGCAAGGATTTGTGAATCTCAAGAGGGCAGTTTGTAATGTGCTACATGCATTAAAGGGTTCAGAGACAACAAAAGGAAGAAAGTACTTTTACATTTTAGCAGAAATGACCTTTAGCATAGGCCATCCTCTTACCAGCATGTCAGTGGCACTGAGATAGTGCTTGCTGGCCATGCACTGCTCCAGCTTTTGAGGCACTTGCTTGATATTCTCAATTTCATCCAGCAGGTTCAGAACATGCTTATGTTCAATTCCTTCAATCCACAGTTTCCGAAGCTCATCCCGCTTGCAGTGCAACAGCATCTTGCATGAAAGCAGATTCTCTTTAACCTACAATAAAACAGATTCAATCTTGGGTAAATCCAAAGCCTTGCCAGTCTAAACCCGTAATCTGGTTAGTATTCCTCATTGGTACTACTGCATGTAACAGTTCCTAATTTCCACTCCCACTTGTTCCCCTTGGTTTGTCTGCTTCCAAAATTCTAATCCTAGTTTCTAACACTGACTCACTTGGGTGCATCTCCACCTCTCTGTGTCTATTTTCTCTCCCATGAAATGAGAAAACTACTCCTAGCCTACCTTTGAGTGAATCTAACAAAATTACTGAGGCTAAAGCACTCTGAAAATATGAAGTACTACATAAATGTTAATATATCTCAAAGGGGAATGATTAGTGTGAGAGTCCATGCTGGTATTCTTTCCCCGATCCTTCTTGCAGATTTCCTTTTCAGCTGATAAGGCACTTGGTCCATGCTTCTAACTCTAGAACTTCTGCTGAAGTGTACAACCAAGGAACTGGGCACTCATCTCAACGGACTAAAATAAAAATAACCCACATTTCCAAAAAAGAATAGGCACATCCAGAGATAATCTCAAAATAAAAGGACATACCAAGGATTTTTTGTCTTTTATTCTGAATACTAAATATTACATAAGACAGTCTCCAGCCATAGATCTACACATTATAGTGACTAGCATAGACACAATATGACAAAATAAAAGGGAGAGAGAGGAGAGGAACGGGGAGGGGTAGACATAATACACATGATAAGAGTAAGTTTTTATTTTCTACCTTAATTTAAAATTTTCAGTTTTTACAACATGGAAAAATAAAAAGAACTGTAGCCTTTACATAATTCACAGAACTGCTTTCATTTACTTTTAGCAGTCTTACCATGTATTTTATTTAAGTTAGAGTTCAATATTTATTTACAGTTTTGTTTCTGTGTTTTGTTTAAGGTAAAATTCATGCATGAATGCATCTCAGGTGTACCATTTCATGAGTTTTAGCAAATGCATATGCCTGTATAATACAAACCTTCATCAATATACAGGATATTTCCATCACCCCAGAAAGTCTATCACGTTTTTGACAACTGAAAATCTATATTCTTCTTCTATGAGATCTTATATGGTGGTATACATATTCACTGACACTATACTTCTGGTGATTATAAAGCAGAATTTCAACATTTTTTCCAACAAGCATGGAAAATATGAAGACAGAATGCTAAGATTAATTAGAAGGCTTCTTGAAAAAACAACTAATCCATTCCTACAACTTTTTTTTTTTTTTTTTGTCTTTTTCCGTGTCCGGCAATGGATCGCAACCCTCAGTGTCACCCCCGTACCGGACCGGGACCGGCAACGGGATCGCAACCCTCGGCACTGCCCCCGCGCCTCGCTCAGCCAGTGAGCGGGAACCGGTCTGTATGTGGGATCCGAACCCTCGGCGGGAGCGCTGCCGCGCTTCCCAAGCAGCACACTATA